GCTTTGCATTTGAGGTTAGCTCTTCTAGAACAGTAAGATCACAGCCTAGACTCATATTGGTTCTTTTGAGATTTCTGATCCTAGGAATTATCTTTGGATTCTCATTTGAAGTTCCAAAGCTAAATAACCATTACATACAACACTTTTTATAACACTCTTTAGCAAAAATCTTTTCATTATTCATTGATAAGATGATGGGGGGGGGGGTATATGTATGTATACCTTCGGAAAAACGCAGTAATGGGTTTCCCATAAATGATATATGAGGGTTCTCCATATGCAACAGGATCAATAAAAGGCTTAACATCTTTGATAAGTTTCTTAGGTTTCCAACTTAAAATCAATTGGCAATTAGTGGATTGGCCCAAGTCTCTTATATATTACTCATGTTCCATTCATATTTCCAATGTGGGATCTTTATCCCAATACCCTCCCTCGAGATAATGGTCCGTATAACCAATAATCTCGCAGAATCCATCATACCCCTAACGAGACAATGCTTTTTTTCTTCTAGCAATTTCGATAGAACTGAACCTTCTCTAGGCCATCAGTTAATGGGTTGATCTGACCACTTTCTGGGCCGGATTAATGGGTTAGGGTATGGACCTACTCTGATACCATGATAAGTTTCTTGGGCTTCAAACCTTAAACCAATTGGCAATTAGTGGATTGGCCCAAGTCCCTTATATATTACTCATGTTCCATTCATATTTCCAATATGGATCTTTATCCCAATAATCTTCGTAGCTTACCATCGGTACGTTCTTCTTGAATAACGCTTTATCAGAGCTTCCGTGGAGAAACTGTTGGAGGTACTCTGTGTTTGCGTTAGCTTTGAGTATCTTGTTCAATACATCTTCATGTATTTGCTTTGCATTTGAGGTTAGCTCTTCTAGAACAGTAAGATCACAGCCTAGACTCTTATTGGTTCTTTTGAGATGTCTGATCCTAGGAATTATCTTTGGATTCCCATTTGAAGTTCCAAAGCTAAATAACCATTACATACAACACTTTTTATAACACTCTTTAGCAAAATCTTTTCATTATTCATTGATAAGATGGTGGGGGGGGTGTATGTATGTATACCTTCGGAAAAACGCAGTAATGGGTTTCCCATAAATGATATCTGAGGGTTTTCCATATACGACACGATCAATAAAAAGCTTAACATCTTTGATAAGTTTCTTGGGCTTCCAACTTAAAACCAATTGGCAATTAGTGGATTGGCCCAGGTCCCTTATATATTACTCATGTTCCATTCATATTTCCAATGTGGGATCTTTATCCCGATACCCTCCCTCGAGATAATGGTGCGTCTAACCATTAATTCCGAAGAATCCACCATACCCCTATCGGGACCATGTTTTTTTCTTCTAGCAATTTCGATAGAACTGAACCTTCTCTAGGCCATCAGCTAATTGTTTGATCGGGCCACTTTTTGGGCCGGATTAATGGGTTAGGGTATGGACCTACTCTGATACCATGATAAGTTTCTTGGGCTTCCAACATAAAACCAATTGGCAATTAGTGGATTGGCCCAAATCCCTTATATATTACTCATGTTCCATTCATATTTCCAATGTGGGATCTTTATCCCAATAATCTTCGTAGCTTACCATCGGTACGTTCTTCTTGAACAGTGTTTTATCAGAGCTTCCGTGGAGAAAATGTTGGAGGTACTCTGTGTTTGCGTTAGCTTTGAGTATCTTGTTCAATACATCTTCCTGTACTTGCTTTGCATTTGAGGTTAGCTCTTCTAGAACAGTAAGATCATAGCCTAAACTCATATTGGTTCTTTTGAGGTGTCTGATCCACCTACCCATTGTCAGGGGTTTGTTTATACAAGATGCAAAACGATTTTAAAATGTCAAAAAGCATGTAAGACGATTTGAATTTACATAAGATAGTTTATAGAAGACAGGCTGGAGTACGCGTGGATTGATTCGAAGATGGACTAACAGACCTGGAATACTATTAAATCAAAAACACAATTTAAACATGACTAAATGTATCATGTAATATTTACCAAAATTAAAATTTATATAAATTATGAATTCTAATATATTAGTGCTTAATTATGCAACTAATTTAACTAAACATTTAAAAGTTTATAAAATAACACAGACATGCATCAGTCTCCGCGGTGGGTCAAACCGAATTGGACAAAACCCACGGTTTTTTAATCAAATTTCTCTAACTGCAAACGAAGCAAATAACACAGATTCTGCGATACAGTAAAGCATTTGAAATTGTTTGGTCATCCCTCTACAGAATCCATTAAACGACAAGCGTTACAACAACATCGAAGAAACTGAAAAACAGAGGAAAGCGAAACTCAAAAAGGGACTTTGTATCCCAAAGATGCAGCAGAGCATTCTGTATATCCCGGGCTAGACCGTCATTACTACTTCTTTCTCTGTGATGCCTCTGTCTTGTGATAAGACTCTTTTCTTAATCCCTGTAAAATGCCCAGTAAAACATTTTAGCATCATGACTCCCTATAATGCAACACACAGTGGACTAATGGATCAATTATAAGTTGATTCTCAACCTTTAGATAGAGAATTATAAGATATCTGATTCCAAAAAGATTCAAGACATAAGCTACTAAAACGAAAACTCTCATCTTTGCTACAATCAACTATACCCACAACCATTACGCATCTGTTGAACAAAACCACGTATCATGACAATATAACAAAGTAGACTGGAAGAAGATTACTTACCAGTACTTAATCAAGCCGTCCCATCCACAAGTTACAACTTTGCTCTGCTCCAGAGGATGCCACTCGGCTCCAATGCATACTCCTGTGTGACATCTAAGAGTCTTGAACACTTTGCAGCTCTTCCAGTCCCAAAACCAGCACTTACCCTCACCGTCTCCCGACATTACAAACCTTCCATCCGGCGAGAAATTAACTTCGCATGCATAACCAGCGACAATGTTCCCCGCAAACCTCTTCTTCTTATTCAGCTGAAACCTCTCCCGTGTACCGTAGATCAGAATCTGGTTGTCCAGGTACCGTAGATCAGAATCTGGTTGTCCAAGCTCTGTGCTGCATGTTAAGCTAGATGAGCTTCCAACTTAAAACCAATTTGGTTTTAAGTTGGAAGCTCATCTAGCTTAACATGGTATTAGAACCCACGATCCACGCATACAACCCGATCCATTATCGATCCGTGCCCAAAGCTGGGCCATCGATCTTTGCCCGAACATTTCGAGATTGATGCTAGAGAGCCATCATCTCGAGGGGGTGTATTAGACACAAAGTGTCCCACATCGGAAGTTAGAAGGGATATTAATTAATATATAAGATAGATGAACCAATCCATTTATCACCAATTAGTTTTAGGTTGGAGGCCCATCTAACTTAACACTGCAAGGTACTTCTTATTAGGGTGAACAGAAATGGCTGGCATGGAATGCATATGAGGCTCACTGATATACTAAAAGCAAACAGTTAATGATATAAAAAGTGTCTTTGTTCTGATTTAATGATTTTTTGTTTATAAGACGAACACACATTAAACCAACACAGATTATAACAAACAGTGTGTTGATTAATTCTCTTTTCTCTGCTACCATTTTACTACCACCTTGATTAAGATGATGATGATACTTTGTGAACTTGTGCACATGGAGCAGTCATAGACGCACATAGGAACTCTTGGGAGAATATTTGACATACTTTTTCATCATCTTTAAAATATATATAAATTGTCTATTTTTATATTAAGAAGATTGACGAACGGCCAAAGCAAAGAGATTCAATACATTTATCTTTTCTGCCATGAAGACACCAAGTAATAACAGTTTGAACAATAGAAATAGCATCAAATAATAGGGAGAATAATCGAAACCAATATTAGTATGTTAATAATTTTTATAATAATGTTTTCAAATTTAGTATTAACTATTTGAATTTTAAGTTTTTAATTAAAATATGGATAAAAGTGTCTTATCACATATGAAAAAGTGTAATTTTCAAAAATAAATAAATAAATAAGTGTACTTTTCAAAATTGAAAACATAATTAGAGTATTTTTCAAACTATCCCAATTATTTTATTCATTATAATACATTAATTTTTGAAATTGTACTAATTTTAATACTCAAACTATGGTGGCTTGTATTCAGTGTAGTGTTGTAAGGGATTTAATTTTTTGTGAGTTTTTAAATGATTTTATATGAACTTGAGAGTTTAATATGGTTTTTTTTTGTTAAAAATACTTTAAATTTTCACTTTAAGAATTCACAACTCAGTTTTTCAACAACAATAGATTTTAGATTATTTAAAGAAATTGCAAGTTCAATAACAATGTATTTTAAATGAAAATTTAAAATTTACGTTTTAATAATGATATATTTGTAGTTCTCATAAAGATCAACTCAAAACTCTCTGTTTCCCCCTGTTATTATTTTAATGATAAATATTAATAAAATTCAAACAAAATTCTAAAACCTTCCAAATTAAAAAAACGAATCATACAAATTTCTAATTTTATTTTTGGCTTTAATAATAATAAATAAATTATGAATAACTTAGAACTTTTACATATTAGTTTTTTCATCATCAAATTTATATTAGTTTACAGCAAAAGGCTCAGATATTAAAAAAACTTAACAAAATTTAGTTAATATTTTATCCTAATAAAAATGATAGAATCAGAATAAGTCAACAAGCGAATAATAACGAATCCAAAAAAGCCCACGTTTTCTCCCAACAGTTGCCCTCAAGCATTTAAATTTGTTTCGGTCGTCCCTCTACACAATCCATTGAACAGAGTGCGTTACAACATTGAAGAATCTTAAAACAGAGGAAAAAAGAATGCATCAGTCACACCTAACTGAAACACCCACAACACAACAATAAACAACGCGACAAAAGAGAAAGGCTCAAAAGATGGTAACATTATTGGTCCTAACATTATTGCTCCATTATTCTTTAAGCATGTGATCTTGTTCGTTTTTGGTCGTGGTCATCATCAACATATCTGGATCAGATAGGAGGGGGTTTGTCGCTGAAGAACCGTGCAAGAACCTTGTCTTCAAGAACCTTTAAAGACTCAGCAGAGTTTATACACATAGGTGTCTTGTACTGAGCTACAGAAGAACCTCGAGAAACAAAAAACGCCATGAGAGAATCAAACGTTCCTTGTTGCACCACTCTGATTTCTAGAGCTCCAATATGTTCATCTTTGCTTCTCAAGAGCCTATAAGCACCATTCATTGATTCCTCCATAACGCAACAACATTCCACCAATACCTTGTTATCAAGAGGTAGAACATCAGTGCCATTATAGTTGACTTTTGATTTGAGTTCCAAGTAAAAGACGTAGTGACCAGGTACAGTGGATATATCAGCATAGCATGTGAAACCAGTTGACATTAAATCCGAAGATTCAAGAATGACAGTCGCAGATGCCAACGCCTTTAAAAGATCTTCTTCAGTCGTTGACTCTACATAGACGCTTAAAACCGTAGTTTTTCTACGTACGAATCTGAACTGAGGTGCCATATTGTAAAAACCAGTGACCTGTAAAACATCCCCCACTCTACATCTGTGTAACCCTAAACATTCAACATAACCATATTGTAACAGTATTAGCTAAAACAAGAAAAAGTAGTATCGATTTAGTTAATAATAAATAAAATTGAAAGGGACTACCTGAAAAGTTTGTGACCAAGGGCTCATAGTAGTGACCCAACTTCACATTCACAAGATCAACAATCTCCCCCTCGGTTCCTCCATCGACATCTATGAACTCGAAGTATGACATGCTTGGTAGAAATGTGTAGGACACATGTTGTGGTTTGCTTAGAGGTTCCAAGTTTAACCCGAATGGTGCTTCAGAAGATGCATAAAGTTTAGAGACTAGAGGCAGTTCACTATTACAGTAGAACTCCAATACCGGGATGTATTGAGCCATAGTTCCTGTAACAATAGCATCAATGCATTTGGCTTTAGGCCAAAGTCGTGAAACTATACCTTGCCAAGATTTTTGTCCGCACTCATTTTCGATTAGAGCTGCCAATTCTGGATTTGGCTCAACAAGGATGGTAGAGACAGAGTCTCTACAACTAAGGTCAGTGATCCACTCGCTGACATGACCAGATCTGATGTTACTAGCCAACTCTTTCCAGTAATTTTCAAGAAAATAGATAACTTGTACCAAGACAGAACCGAACGTAGCACCAACCCTTACAACCTCTTCTCTCTGGACAAGGCCACAGAGAAGTTGACAGTACATACTCTGTTTGGTGTCCGGACACAGTATGATCTGGAGGGGGCTTGTACTATTTGTTGCCAGGCTCCTATAATATTCACTCTTTGTGAAGCTTGTTAGCGCAGGAGCAAGAGGCAAACCACAAGGAGTTGTGGACATCGGGCGAATGAACGTAAACATAATCACCTTTCCTTGCTTAAAACCGTCGAAATACCTTTATTATAATTCAGAAAAAAAAAAATATCAATCCATGGTTGTCATGAAAGCGTCAAATATATAAAAGAAGGATGCCTGTGGAAATTTACTTGGACATAACGAGAGAGCCTAGGGTATAGATGATTTGAATATTCTCAAAGAAGATCTTGCTCGCAGGAAATATCTTTTGTTTCCCACTTGAAGTTCCAGAGCTATATAACCATTATTTACAACTCTTTAGATTCTTGTTAAAAAAAAATACAACTCTTTAGAATCATCAAAAATTCAAAAGCTATTATATATGTATTCAATGATAATAAGGTGCGTGAATACCTTCGGAAAAATGCAGTAATGGGTTCGCCTGAAATGATATCAGAGGGTTCTCCATTTGCAACACGATCGATATAAGGCTTAACATCTTCATAGCTCACCACCGGTACGTTTTCTTGAACAGTTCTTTGTCAGAGCTCCCCTGGAGAAACTGTTGGAGGTACTCTGTGTTTGCGTTAGCTTTGAGTATCTTTGGTCAATACATCTTCTTGTATTTGCTTCGCATTTGAGGTTAGGTCTTCTAAACCAGTGAGATCACAGCTTAAACTCATATTTGTTTTCCTTGTTATCACCACCCCCTTATCATGGGTTTCTTATATAGATAAAATACCATTACTGGTGTGAGACCCATTACACCTTATTTGTGTGACACCCATTAAATTTTTCCAAACAAAAAAAAAAATTTAAGAGAGAATGGACCATGACAGGCGATTTTTTCAAAGACAGTAAAACCACAGAATTCTACGCACATTAACCACTCACACCTAATAACTTTGCTGTTTGTGGTGGTATTCATCATCACATGAAAATAAATCATATCTGGATCAGATAGGAGGGGATTCGTCCGTCGCTGAAGAACCAAGCAAGAACCTTTAAAGCCTCAGCAAAGTTTATACACATAGGTGTTGGGAACAAAAAAAGTCCATGAGAGAATCAAACTTGTTCACACATAGCTCTATCCATCCAATCTTCTTCTGTAGTGTCTATAATTTACCATTCAATGACTCCTTCATGGCACAACAACATTCTATCAATACCTTGTTATCAAGTGGTCCATCATTAGTGCAATTATTGTTGACAGTGGATATATTAACTCCAAAGATTCAAGAACCTTTAAAACCTTTTAAGAGATCTTCTTCAGTCGTTGGCTATAAATGAATGCTTATTACCGTGTTATTCTTTTCAAAACCCGTGTTTATCATGTGTGTAGACACCAGGAAACAGGCCCGGAACCGATGTCGCAATAATTCCCAAGCGTGGCTCCAATAATCATTAGGGACTTGAGCAACACGTTCTTGCCTTGGGAAGGTTACGGTTTGCACCATATAACATCTCACGCATAAATGACTGAGCCGTTTGAGAGAGTGGCTCACCCCCATACATTGCACATCCTGTACGTTTGAGCCATCACCTATCAAATAAAATGAAAAAAGGAAAAAATAAATATACAAAAGATCAACATAGTTTTTAAGCTTAGAGATATTTGTTAAGTAATGTACTTTGATGAGCTGCTAAAACGTGGGTTACCATGGAGGTAGCATAGTAGGCAACCACGAAAAGTTCCTTTATCCATTAATGTGGTATGATCTCACCTTGTTCTTAATAAGGTCTGGGAAGAAAATAAACTAACTGCACCTTGTAGACTTGAGAAATAAATAAAGTGAGATAAGATTTGGCTAGTCAAATATTTGAGCTCAAGATGAAATGAGAAAAAAAAAAACAACACACTTAAAAAACTTAGAACAACACACTTAAAAATCACACACAAATTGCATAAAAAAAAAACATTCCACAGATGGGAGTTTAATTATTATTCTGATCAAGATAAACCCAAATGGATCTATCTAGTCTAGTGCAGAGGAGGAGCCAGCTTCCATGGAAGCAATTTTGTTGATGCTCTGATTATGACCACTGAGACACAAGACTTGCGACTGCTTATCCAAGAATCTTCTGACAATAGCAACGCGGTGGACATCTTTACCAACTCGAGGCTCACAAGAGTCCTCGTACTCTATGTAGAAAACAGCATCATAGTCTCCAAGTCCCTGGCTACTTTCAGTAGCCACTTTCAGAATCTTCAAATTGGTCAGACTTTCTTTTATAACGGCAAGGCTCCTATTGGTTGTAGCAACGGCAAGGTCCAAGTACAAACGGATCCAGTCATTGTCTTCAAGCTCTGAATCCTTGAGCTGAAAAAAAAAGAAGAAATAGTATATCACTAATTACCAGTTGTTAAATATAATAATCAAAACCAAGAAGCAATCAATTTACCAAGCGGAATCGGTTGGTGCCATCTTCAACAAAAGGGTTCTCTCGAGGCAACTCAGGCAACTTGGGATCGTCTTCGTCGTCTTCGTCGCCACCATCAACTGTGATGGTCTTCTCACCTATACAAAGATAGATCAACTGAGACATGATATGATTGTCGTGAACTAGTAATAATGAAATATTTTACCTAGAAGTCTAGCAACAGTGCACTCGAGATTGAATGTGCGGTATTCTTTCTCACTAATTTTAGTCTGAAAGGTTTGGAGAGAACCACAGTCATCCTCCGCTTCCAAAGTCATGTAGTAAGACTGAATAGGACACATTCTGGTCCTGTTGTATTTCTTTACTCTACTGAGCTGCAATTTTGTCCCCTAAATTCGGAAAAATATACAAAGAAATAGATCAAATGGATATACATAAAAAAATGTTAAAAAGGGGCAAGGAAACACTATTTAGAACCACCAACCTGGAGTAAGTTGTAACGATGAAGGCCCATCCTGGCATAAAGGAGGGCTAAGTCACAACAACCATCAGCACAGTGGAATACTTTCAGTGGGTTAGCCCACTGTGGTCCTGAACTAACATCGAATCCCTAAGACCAAATATTAGTCAAAACCAACAAGAGGGACAATCCGGATTCACACATGCATGATAAAAACAAAACAGACAAACAAATTTCGTCGGTAGATGAAAGATTATATAATATTACCTCGGATTGCCTCAGTGTTTCAAAGTATTTGACCAACATAAGTTTGTGCCTCTCCTGAAACTCTTTCTCTGTTATCCTCCGCCCCATCTTCACGCCTCTATGTGCTTTTCCTAGATTTAGGTTTTCCAATTGCCACGCGTTTTTATATACCGCTTTTCTTTTCTGGGCCTTTGGCGGCTTGATCGGTTCATAAGCGTGAACGAGAGGCAAAAGCAATTAGGGGGATAATTTTGTTTTGAAAACCAGATCGGGAATTGACTTGGCATTTTCACTGGATAGCTGGTCGGACCAGTTGCAGGGCTTGACTCAACATTTATTTGAGTCCCCTGGACAAAAGATATTTTTCAACTTTTAATATTTATATTTATTAAATATTTAAATATATTCCAACATTTTTATCATCAACATTTCTATAAATTTGTGATAAAAATAACATATGTATATGTAAAATATTTTAGGACCTTCATTTAACTAAAATTTATAAATATTTAAATTTTTATATAAAAATATATATCTATATACATAAAGAATATTTGCTTTCCCATATTGAATCCACGTCATCAAATCTTCCAATCAAAAATTGACACGTGTCCATATCTTTTGTTACTCTATTTTTTGTGAGCGTTTTTTATCTCGCTCGCAAGCGTGAGCCTTAAATTATTATCAACTTTACAAGTCCGTAGTTCTCCGGTCGTGCATTAAAAATATTAATTAAATAATTTAATTAGAAAGTGACATGTATTCAAAAGTGTTTTATTTCTGTTTTGTTTTTGGTTTCTTTTAATGGGCTTCGTCATGTGTTTACGGGTTACTTTTGGACGGGCTAAAACAGAAATTTTAAGTTCTTCTCTTCATCTTGCTGGCGAAAAAGATATGAAACGTTACGGAATTAGTCTCAATCTAATCGTCGTCTTTGATGGTCTCATTAACGATTTCCACGCCTCACACGATCTATCATTGAATGCATTCTCCTTTGCTTTCTTTCTCATAATTGTTTGCTATAAAAAGATAAGTTTTATACTCTAAATTTCATCAGTTCTTTTCTCTCCATCATTCAAATTAAAAAGTCTGTTTTTCTGAAACTTTAGTTTATGGGAGATGATTTGGTGATTTTGTCTATGGGAGATGACGTAGATTTCAATTTGTTGGTTGATTTTGTTTCAGTTTGTTCTTTTATTGATTATCAAAATCTTAATTCGAGAGCTTAGGTTTTTGAGAGAAACTTCTTTTCCAAAATTCCCCATTTATGGAGATTCATTTGATTCCAGTTATGTTTTTCTTTTTCTTTTGTTTCTATTAGTTAACAACATTTTATTCATATTATACATCTTACGTTACACATTTTAATATATAAGAGTTAAATATATAGTCTTTTCAAGTACACATTTTAATTACAACCATTGTTAACTTATTTAAAAACATAAAAAAAATTGTTTGAGACATTATAAAATAAAAATTTATACATATCCGCATAATAATTTGATCTTGATTCTGTGACATTTTATATCATCAAAGTAAAAGACTTATCGATCAATCTGTAGATAAAACAACAAAAGTACACGCGCTTTTTAAACTTTTATCATGTCACCTTTTCAACAGGTTCCGCAGCAAAAGAATGATTTTGACTTTGGTCTCTTTGTGTTGTTCTTCATACAAACGGTTTATCAAAGATGCTCCTCAGAGGTTGAAATTGCAGGATCTGGGAATGGTGCGTTTCTCTTTTATTATATATTCCTCCTCTCTTCTAAACACTTTGTTGTTGACACATATTGTTATCCTCTTTCAGATTCACAAGATTTGGTTTAAACCAAAATAATCAAACAGATTCCCTGATTCATGCAAAAAACATTCACATTGAAATCAAGGACTTCAAATTATTGCTTTCATCAAACAGTTTAAAAATATTAAGAATGCATCAATCACACTTAACTGAATCACCACAACAGTAAACACAATGACAAAGGAGAAAAACACACAAGAAATAATCCACAAGCAATTTATAACCACTCTCACCAGGTAACTTTAGAGCTCCATTATTCTTTAAGCATGTTGGTGGTGGCCAACATCATTTCTGGATCAGATAGGAGGGGATTTGTCGCTGAAGAACCGAGCAATAACCTTGTCTTCAAGAACCTTTAAAGCTTCAGCAGAGTTTATACACATAGGTGTCTTGTACTGAACTACAGAAGTACCTCGAGAGACGAAAAAGTGCATGAGAGAATCAAACGTCCCTTGTTGCACAATCCTTATCTCTAGAGCTCCAATATGTTCATCTTTGCTTCTGAAAAGCCTGTAAGCACCATTCATTGATTCCTCCATAACGCAACAACATTCAACCAATACATTGTTATCAAGAGGTAGAACATTAGTGATATTGCTGTTTGCTTTTGCTTTTAGTTCCAAGTAAAAAACGTAGTGACCCGGTACAGTGGATATATCGGCATAGCTTGTGAAACCAGTTGTCATTAAATCCGAAGATTCAAGAACTACTGTCGCTTGAGCCAACGCCTTTAAAAGATCTTCTTCAGTCGTTGACTCTACATAGACGCTTAAAACCGTAGTTTTTCTACGTACGAATCTGAACTTAGGTGCCATATTGTAAAAACCAGTGACCTGTAAAACATCCCCAACTCTACATCTGTGTAAACCTAACAAACACAAATATTTTAAAAAAAAAAACATTAGCTGAAACCAAAAAAAATATAAGTGATTTCGATTTAATTACATTTTAAAAGGACCTTACCGGAAAAGTTTGTGACCAAGGGCTCATAGTAGTGACCTAACTTCACATTCACAAGATCAACAATCTCGCCCTCGGTTGTTAGTCCATCGACATCAACATCTATGAACTCAAAGTATGACATGTTTGGTAGAAATGTGTAGGACACTTGTTGTGGTTTGCTTAGAGGTTCCAAATTTAACCCGAAATATGCTTCAGATGATGCATAAGCTTTAGAGACTAGAGGCAATTTATTACTAGTGTAGAACTCTAATGCTGAGATGTATTGAGACATACTTCCTGTAACAATAGCATCAATGCATTTGGCTTTGGGCCAAAGTCGTGAAACTATACCTTGCCAAGATTTTTGTCCGCATCCGTTTTCGATTAGAGCTGCCAATTCTGGATTTGGCTCAACAAGGATGGTAGAGACAGAGTCTTGACAACTAAGGTCGGTGATCCACTCGCTGACATGACCGGATCTGATGTTACTAGCCAACTCTTTCCAGTAATTTTCAAGAAAATGGATAACTTGTACCAAGACAGAACCGAACGTAGCACCCACCCTTACAACCTCTTCTCTCTGGACAAGACCACAGAGAAGTTGACAGTACATACTCTGTTTGGTGTCCGGACACAGTATGATCTGGAGGGGGCATGTACTTTTTGTTGCCAGGCTCCTATAATATTCACTCTTTGTGAAGCTTGTTAACGCAGGAGCAAGAGGCAAACCACAAGGAGTTGTGGACATTGGGCGAGTGAACGTAAACATAATCACCTTTCCTTGCTTAAAACCGTCGAAATACCTTTAATATTAAAAAGAAAAAAAAATATCAATCCATTGTTGTCATGAAAGTGTCAAATATATAAAAGAAGG